AGAGAACTGCTTACCAGACTGTACCCTTATTTCTGATTAAGGCTTTGGCTTTTTTGCCCTGGCGTCTTGCTACTAGTGAACATTAGATTTCATTGAGCAGTCTTTCCTTTGGGCATTGTAAATTTGGGAAGCCAGCTCGTTAGCCACTTCACAGCTAACTTGTTCTAGTCTTGATTTTTATTTTCCGCTTCTCCTGTCTTTAATTAAAACAAGCCTTTGGACGCTGCAGATCAGAGCTGCCTTGAACTGCCTACAGCTGTCTTTGGTCAGCACAGAGCATCCCAGTCTTTCTGACCTGCTTCTCATCAGCATCTCTTTCCTGGCACTTTTGCCATCTGATGTCTCATTTTAGGATTCATATGGCCTGATGATTTGGTCATTTTCCCCTATGTCTTCACAATTCAACTTTGAAAATTGGAATGCAAATACCAGAAGTAGGGAAGCTGCATCTTTTAGGTGTCTAAATTTTCTCTTCTTCTTGTATAAACTCTTCATTGATATTTTAAAGTCCAGATTATATGCAGTTGAATTCTGACTGGTTTTGGAACAAAGAATGGCTCATTTAAAAAAAAAATGTAACATTATTGTGTGAAGGAAAGGGAAAAATTTGTAATTATCAGATGTCTGTCAAAAACCTTGCTTTATGTATATCAAATAGCTGTGTCTAACAGGACTTTTCAAAGCTTTAGCTCTGGACATAACATAATGTTTTTGTTTAATAAACGTCTAATTTGTCTACCAGACGACTGTTATGCTTGTTTTTATTTTATTCTGTTTCTGAGATGGATGGTTGATTCAAAGTGCTCTCTTTGTCAGGCTTGCTGTGCCCTGCAGAACATTTTGCAATAGATATGCAGAGACATGTGCATTGTAATATTTATCTATTGTTGTGACATTTGTTTTGAATGGTGTTTTAAAACTCCTGATTTTATTGTAGTGTAACTGTAAAGAATATTTTTTTTCTTGCAGAATAACATGATTCCAACAATATATTCAAAGGTCTTGTAATGCATCATTTAAATTTTTAAATGTCCTTAGATTCGTAGAACTACTTTCAGAGTGCAGTGGTTCACTAGATAATGTGTAAAATCAATAAACAGACCTTGGGAAGTGAAGGAATGCAAGAGGAAGGAGAAATGTGAATTGGGATACAGGATCCCATACGAATCACTGATTACAGCACCAGTGTCATCGGATTAGGGCATTTAGACCAAAGCAGAGGAACTGTGGAGGGGAAAAAGAGGAGGGGAAAGGCACCATGACAAGAGCTGCAAGGCAGTCACAGACAAATGTCTCACCAAAAGGGGAAGATAAGATAATTTTTTTTTCCAAGCGTTAGGAATCTCTGAAAGGAAAATACCGTGGTAACTTCTCAGGTCAGGCAAGAGGTAGCACCAGAGCCCTGTACTGTGTCCCACTGACTTATTTCCAGCAGCCATTCCTGACTTGCCTCGATGAAGTTAAAGAATGGGCAGTTGTTCAAAGGAAAAGCTGTTCTCTGCAAGTGTAATAGAGAGGGAGTGGGAAAAGTGTTTTCAGCAGAAAACATACAAGTACTTCTGTTACTTTTTCCCTATTACATAAAAAAGAGCTGAGCATAGAAATGTTGCTTTCTGTGGGTTGACCTAGTCAGTTGGCTATGTATGTGAGCTATTAATATATATTGAACTCATCCTGTTTAGATATTGCTCTATGTACATTACCTAAAGCACTGAGTATCCTGCAAAGCAGTGGGAAGAAAAAATGTCTTCAGAAACTCGTTGGGTTACAGAGATCCAAGCATACAGGAGTGTGGTTGACCCCCATCTACTTTTAGGCTGTACCACAGTTGGTTTGCTTCTTACTATTTTTGGTGTGTTAAAGCAGAGCTCTGGGACAGTGCAAATTTAGGTCCTTGAGATTAAAGAAAACCTACTGTGGCAAAAGGAGGAAAAAAGAGTGTGCAAGCCAAAAAAACAAACCTCTCCCTTGCCATGTTTTTGGGTTTATTTTTTCATGCATTAGTGTGACTTATTCTTACTTTTCTGTTTGGTTTTAAATTAGTTTTATTTTTTATGGTTTTTGTTTAAACTAGTAGCAAGTAAAGTAGCAGCTAAAACAGGGACTTGCAGTAGTGATTATACAAATAGCGTATATGCTGCTTTCAAAGACCTTGTAGTCTAAATTGACAGAGGTGATGAACACATAGTGTGGAAAGGGAGAGCAGCAAGCAAGGACAACAGGTAGAAAAATGGTGCAACCTTATCATGTACATTCTGACTTTTACTGAGGTCTGTAGATGCTTTTGGGATGAATTTTCCATGCTTTGCTATTTGCTAAATATCTTTATGAAGTATAGGAGTAACAAAAACAAACCTGTGCAAGATTTGGGAGACTTATCTTCCTTAAGTTGTTTGTTTTCTGTTGTTTTACAGTGTTAGCTCCTGGTGCCTGAGTTTATGTGAGACTCTGCTTGAATTTACAGTGATGGAAGAACACTGGCAAAATGAAGAACAGGTTAAAATCTTAGAAACAGGCATTTTTCTTTGAAATAGAAGAAAAAAAGTCTTTTTAAAACCAGCTTCCTGCCAGTTTAGGCTTGATTGCTGATCTGTATAGATTTGTATTTGAAACTGCATGTTCAGGAAGGGATTAGTCAGCAGGCAGAGCAGTGGCATCTTGCAATCCACACCTTGGCCATGATTGTAAATGTCATTGAGACATTCCCTGTGAATGTGGTGTGAGCAGGGTCAATAGGCTGCATTTAAAAGTGATGCCAGGTGGGTAGGATGGAATCATAGTAATTGGGTAGATAGCCTGTAAAAATAGCTTACCCAGGGTTCTATTACTTAAGGAGGATTGTGTTGAACCATCTAGTTGCTTTGGAAATCTCTTTCTTATTTCTTGCACTGTTGTACAATATAAATAGGTATGCTTTTTCTTGTGAAGGATCCCCTTGTAGCTGCTGCATGTGAACAGCTCACAGCACCAGTGCTCAGATGACTCTTTGTGATGGTGTAGAGGAAGCTGCTGCAGATGCCCTGTCTGCTTAGGAATGCTCTGCCTTCTGCCTCTGTCACCGATTGAGTTGCACTATGTGAAAGAGAAATGGAAAGATTGTGTCAGGTCATCTGATTGTTTCCTAACGCATGCCAATAGGATGCAGTTTGCTCTTCCTATTTGTCTGTGGTTAGTTCAGAAGAAGAGTAATTCAACCTTCTTCCCCCAGTCCTTGAACCCACGTAAGCCTTGACACACAGGATGTGGGTTCCTGGGATGACAGAAGTGGAGCTTGTCCATCCTCTTACCTGGTTTGGGAGATAGCACAGATTGCTAAATACAGCCCTCCTGTTGCAATAGAGCATAAGCACAGCTGCTCTCTAACAGGTATCAAATGTATTGTTAGGCTTTTTTATTTTCTGTGAAACAAAGCTTGTTTTGGCATGTTTATAAGCATGCTGTAAATGACATAAAAATGTATTTAGGAGTTAAGTGTCTCCTGAGAAAAAACAAAGGGAAGGTTTTTCTTTAAAAAAGGAAAATAAAGGAAAAAAAAAAACAAAAACAAAAACAAAATCAGCCAAACCCAAAGCCCAATACAATTAACCCCAATGTGTGGCTTTAGCCCCAGGCGAGAATTTTTCTCCCTTCCCCACTTCTACCCCTGAGAAAACACAGAATGCATTGTCAGCAGCAACAAATGCAGTGTCCTGGAGGAGAGCAAAGACTGGTGGGGAGCTGACTGCAGATGAGCCACACAAATTCCTAATTTAAGCTTAGCAACAGCAACAATAAAAACAGGCTCTGTAAATACGGAAACTGTAAGTACAGTTAAATTCTGCAGTGGATTATTCTTTTCATATAAGGAGAATCCTTGAAGCCCAAAGTGATGGTAGCTCATCAAATCATATCAACAGCCTTTGGCGTTGGAATCACAATCACAGAATGGTTTGGGTTGGGAAGGATGTTAAAGATCATCTGGTTTCAAGCCCCCTTCACCACCCTGCCGTGGGCAGGGACACCTTCCACTAGGCCAGGTTGCTCAAAGTCGCATTCAACCTGGCCCTGATGCACTGTCCCTCAAAGTATTGCACAACTTCTCTGGGCAACCTGTTCAGTGTCTCACCACCCTCACAGTAAAGAATTTTTTCCTAATATCTAATCTGCCAGTTTAAAAGATAGGACCCTTGTCCTATCTGTATCTGCACTTATAAAAAATTCCTCTCTGGCTTTGTTGTAGGCCCCCTTTAGGTACTGGAAGCTGCTCTAAGGTCTTCCTAGATCTTTCTCTTCTCCAGGCTGAACAGCCCCAACTCTCTCAGCCTGTCTTCATAGGAGAGATGCTGCAGCCTCTGATCATCCTCGTGGCTCTCCTCTGGACTCACTCCAACAGCTCCATGTCCCTTTTGTGTTAGGGGCCTCAGAGCTGGATGCAGTACTCAAGGGGGGTTCTCAAGAGAAAGGAGCAGAGGGGGAAGATCACCTCCCTCAGTGTGCTGGCCACACTCCTTTTGATGCAGCCCAGCATACGGTTGTCTCTTTGGGCAGCAAGCACATGTTGCTAGGTCATGTTGAGCTTCTCATTAACCAACACCCCCAAGTCTTTATCCTCAGGGCCACTCTCAATTGGAGAGTAATATTGGCTTTGGGATTTAAACTCTCATGAGGAAGTTATACCCCATGCTTTCCATAGATTTTGGTAACAGAAGAAGTTTGGACTGTTTCTGATATTCCAGTGTTTGAACAGTAGTGGTTACTTTAAGGCTGATACACTGCTTTATTATATGTGAATCCTAATGCTTTGTAATTGGTAGCAAAAAATCCTAGATTTTATTCTTTTAAACTGTAGCAAGTATTTTGCTAAGAAAAACCAAGCTTTTATATCACTTTATTTTTGCTTGTATCCTGCCCACCTCAGAGGAGTTACTAAGTAGGAGCACTCATCTTAAAATATAAATGTTGTCTTAAGCTTACTCCATTACTCAAGCAATGTTTAGTGTAACCCTGTCATTTTCTTATAGTGATCCAGCTGCTAAAGCTCTCTGGGAGTCCTTCATGAATCTCAAACAAAAGGAAGCTGTGATGGAGGCTAGGAGACACCTTGTGGAGGCTGCGAGCAGAGAAAATTTACCTATTAAGATGAGCATGGGTGAGTAGCATGACATATCCTTCGCTGCAAAGCGTCATTCTGAAAGGTTATGCCAGCAACTCTTTTTGCACTTCACCCTCTTGGGGAAAACTCACCCCATCCTTGGTTCATCCCCATCTTTGTCAACAGATTTCAGGTGAGCATCCTGGCTATTATAGGGTCTTTATGGTATGTAAGTGAGAGGCAGTTATTTTATTTTAAATACCACAGCCTTAAACAGATTGAAAGCAGTGGTGAAGCAATGGAGTTCTATGAAGGAGGGATTTAAAGGTACGCAAATGGCAACTAGTGATGCTTATCTTTATTCGAAGCACAGGAGTCTGCGTATTCTTGAAACATCAGCAGGATTTTTGTCCTGAAAGCAGGCATTGTAAATGGCAGCTGATCTGGTGGAAGTTGTGCAGATCTGGGATATGATTACATTGTACAGGTAGTGGTTACATTACACAGGTTGCGAGGTTTATGTGAAGTAAGGCTGCCTGGCTCAAGAGAGTTTAAGCCAAAAACCATGTCTGGGCACTCTTTAAACTTGGAATTCTTAAGCATATAAGAGATACAGATTACAGCATAATGACTTTCAATAGTTTTTCTGCAGAACCTCATTCTCACTATATACCATACGTAGTGAAATGTAGGAATTGGTATGTTAGGCTTATAAAAACTAGTATTGCTCTATGCTTTAATAATTTTTTGCATTTTATGCTCTCTAAGATTATTTTATGCTGAACTTTTCATTAGGAAAGGTCCTCATGGGATAAAATTAATATGCTTTTATCTGGGACTCCAGAGTAAACTGCCAAGATATTGTAGAAGAATTAGATGTTCAGCCAACTCATGAACTCTTAACTAGAACATTTCCTATATTGTATGGTCTTTACAAATAGCTAGAGCGTGCATTTAGTAGGTATTAATCAGAAATACTAGATTGCTGCAACAGTAATGCTGTAAACTGTTTTAAAGAAGTGGAAAAGGAGCAGCTGTGAGAGAGTTATTACAAATTTGTCTGAAGGAGGTATCTTTTAACAGGATAATAAAATCTTGTTTAAGCTTTCACTGGTACTGTGTGCAAGTATTCACCATAATAACATAAAAAAAGCCCCCAGTTTTTTCTAGTATATATGCCTTAAAAATGACTTCTTATTTTGATTAATCAAATGATTTTGAAATTCAGCTTTGTTCTGTCTACCACCTCTGCTGCTTTGTGTGAATGACTAGATCAGCCACTCTTCTGTGGCCTCTACTGATGGTGTCGAGTGAAGGATGCAATAACCTGATGCTTACTGATGTCAGCCTAAATGTCTGACATACATGCACCCAATATAGTGCTACGTAGAAACATTTAAGAGCTGATGGTGAAACAAATTTCTGACTTCTTTTCTGTTAGAGTGTAGCTGTAATTTGCTGATGTTTATGGAACTTGGTTATTTATTTTGTGAATTGTGTATTTATCTTGCACGTGAATCATATTCAGTTGTTAACTTTGTACTTGAACTTCAAAGGGTGAAACAAAATTCAAAGCGGTCTTATAAATGATAAACAGGGAAAAATTAGAGTCAAGGAAAGGAGGGCATTAAGGTCACCAAAATAAAATCTTCTTACTGAGCATAAATGCAGAACACCTGAAGATCACACCCAGGTGTCACATTGTCCAATGACGTGTTTATTAATGACTTTCTAGAACAGATCTGCATGTTTACAGCATTCATTCCTTGTTCATCCTGCTACAGAACATCTTAGTTCTCTGTAGGGAAGCTGGAAATTGTTTTGTTTATCAATTGCTGCTTTTGCTGAGAAGGAAAAATTCTAATGGCCTATTCTGGTCCTGATAGCTGTGTTTAGTTGAAAGGCTCCTTCCACCGCAGCTGTGATATGAGGCAACACTGGCTGGAGAGAAGGGAAATGCTTTCACTCTGCTCTGTGCTTAGGTTTGAGTGTATTGGAAGACCTTGGCTGATTGCACACTGATTTTCAAAACACTTAGGGTATTTTCTGAGTTTTTTATGGCCCTAATATTAAATGTCAGAGAGTTTTTCTAGCATGAAAGTTGCCTCTTACTCTCTTTACTAAGACCAGCTGTGTCAGATGGTAAGAGTATTTTCCTTTTACTACTGCTTTCTTGCCTTTTTCCCCCTGGAAATAAAGAGTGAATTATATTTGAAAGCAAAGCTTTGAATTCCATTTGGTGTAGCTGAGCCCTCCTGCAGTGGCCACCTGCCTGAAAAACTGCATCACGTGTGACACTGGCAGCGTGGGACCCCTGTGCAGCAATAAGAAACTTGATCCTGTCCTGTTTCTGTATTTCTGGTGCAAGGAAAATAAATTCTGGTATTTTCTGGGCTGTGAAAGGCTGCTCATTACTCTGAGGTGTGCGTGTGCTTGCCCATGCTTCCCCTGCAAGCCATGTGGGTGACACGCAGCTTTACTCTTTCTCTGCCTGGCTCTGTGTGGCAGAAACTCTGACAGTTATGGGAGGCCCCACAGATCAAGCTTTTGCTTTCTGATGTCTTCTGAATGTGTCTTCTGGATGTGTCCTCATCATCCTGAGAGGGAAGGAGAGTAAGAGAACTGTAGAAGAGGACACGTCTTCTCCCCAAACATCCCCAAATGTCTGCAGGCCACTGGGAGCTCCATGTTCTGCTGAAATTGGCAGGAGCGGAGACAGGAAAGGAGTTCTGAGGAAGGAGAAGAAAGGGAAATGAAGGAAATCAACAGTTCTGGACATACTTTCTAAGCTGAGTAGATTTGAATGCTGCTTTCAGGTGTTTCTGATTTGCATATCCATTTTGTTAGTTGTATCAAGGAAAGTGCTAGGGATGTCTGAAAGTCCGATTGGCCAGTTCAGAAGGGATGAGGGTAGAAAGAACATGTTTGAAGATAAGCTGGCAACATTTGGCTGGAAGTTTTGGTGAATCAACTCTTGGACCAAGCCCAGTTTCAAATTTAAGATCATCTTCATCACATTTGTAAATACAGCAGGATTCTCTCCTTTTTCTGTCGCTATCTTCTACTCAGGTTTTCAGGTGGGGCATTAAGTGGTCTTGTGCCATCTTCAAGGATTTGACTTTTTTCCTTCTCCTTCTTCCATTTATGTCCTCGGAAAGTGTGTATTTTATCTGTAATTTCTTTTCGTGAGCAAAACAGTGTTGTTACAAACTTCAGTGAGTCACATGGGCTACTAAGCTGTCCAGAGGTGTCCACTGCTAGCATTCTAAAATCCTGTTTCTTTTTTGAATAAGAATTGCAAGTCTTGGGAAACCACATTACAGAAGGACACAAAGCGTCAAATGACGGTCCGTAAAACTGACTAGAACACAAAACTACAGCTACTTTGCCCTTTCCTTAGAGAACAAAACCTGAGCTGTTTAGCAATGTAGCCTATTTGATTTTCTGGGGTCAGTCCTGCAGAAGGAAGGCAGAGCACTGTGCAGAATTCCAGCCAGCATAAAGGCTTTATGCATGCTACATCCGGTTTGCTTACTGTTTAATCTGTTCCATCCATAAATACATAACTGAGTATAAGGGTTTTGAAGATGTAATTTCCTGTGGAGTTTAGTAATGCTGCCAGTATTGACTTTTGGGTAGTATTTGTTTGGTATTTCTTACTGTGAATGTGCTGATATTGAGCCCCTGCTTTACAGGATGATATAAACGCACTGAAACCATGTCAGTAACATAATAGTTACTGCTAAGTTTTGCCTTAACCCTTTCAGCTAGATACATTTCCCAAAACAGTAAGTTTTTGCATGTAAACAGGTGGAGCTGTCTTTTGTTAGATGTCCAGTTAAATAAAAAGGAATTAAAATACTCCGTATCTATATACACACACACTTTATAAAATCAACAAAGAAACAGCAAACAACACTTTTAAAAACTACATTAGCACCAGTTTGTCTCTGAGGTAGTTTTCTTTGTGTTTTGTATATCTAAGTGAATGGTGATAAATATGTGGGGAAGATAAATATTTGCCAAATTCTGGTCAGATATGCCTTTGTGTAAGTGTAAATGTATAGGTGTAAATTATTTTGGCATAATGAAAATCCTGGCGTTTAAATAAATGTATTTTATTTAAAGAATTACATCTCGTTTTGAAAAGCTCTTTGGAAGGCAGTTTAGGAGATCAGTGGAATAGCTTTTTTGTGAGATTTATAGCATTGTGCTAAATTAAAGTGAGATTCTACTGCTCAGCTCTTAAAGTAAGTGACTGTAAGGAGTTCTGCTCCGAGGCAGCAGCCTGACTTACACTGGAAAGGTTGCTGGTTTTTCCATTCCTCTACTTCCTGTTCCATTCTTCATAGGTCTGATGCATATCTTAATCATCTCCTCAGCATGGCAGCCCATGAATCTCTTCTGGAAAGCTTTGCTATTAGCATAGTATTTGGCAATGGTAAAAACTTTGCTACAAATGTTCTTTTGTGGGTTTACAATCACCCTTGCTCTTCTGTTTGCAAAGAGCACAGTAAACCTTGATCGAGTCTGAATTCCTTTATTGTGTCATTTTACTCATGGAGACTGATGGAAGTCGAAACACTGGTATAATAACAGAAACAAAGTGCAATCTGCTGTTACATGAGCCCTTATTAAAAGAATTAAAGCTTTCTGGTTCCTTTATACTTGAACTGTACAAATACAGTTTTAAAAATCAAGATTACCATAAAATTAGCAAAACTTCAGGCTTTGTGAAGTAAAGAGGAGTACTGTAACTTTTTTAGATAGGCTGGTTTGCATGGGTTGAACTGAACTCTAAAATTTGTTCGGGGGGAAAAGGGAAGATCCAGACATTTTAGCTTGGAGATATGAATACCGTTTTGAGTTAGAAGAATACCTTCGCAGCCCAGAAACCAAATGTATCCTGAGCTGCATCAAAAGGAACAAGACCAGCAGATCAAAGGAGGATCTTGCCCTTCTGCTCTCATGAGACCTCACTTGGAGTATTATATGCAGTTCTGGTGTCCTCAACATAAAAAGGACATGGAACTGTTGGAACAAGTCCAGAGGAGGGC